TTCCAGTGCCGATCGCTCGCGGCCCACCGCCGCTGGCTTAACTTTTTGAGCTACTCGCTTGTGTCGCTTGGGTAGCCCCCCATAGGGGGCCGTGCCCTTAAAAAAGACACGGATACCACACCGCCAAATTCCTCATCTTTTTCCTTCGGGTACGAGTTGCCGTCCACTATTAGCCGACTCCCTAAATCTTCCACCTCCACGATCCGACCTTCTTTCTCAGTGAGCAGTGGTCCATATCTCTTCTCGCGAAATCGCACCGCGCTGCCGGAGATGGGTAACGACTTAATCTGATCACTGGGTCTCGCACCCACAGCGAGAGCTGCTCTGTTCCTCGGGTCCCGGGGCTCCACTGTCTCAATCATTACCCGCGTCCCGTCTGGTTTCCTAATGGACAATGTTTGGCTCCCATCAGGTCGCTCTATCATCACCGCATGCACGTGGCTCAGCCACGTTCGACCCAAGAGCAGGTCGGAGCTGCAGTTCTAAACTGCAAAGACAGGCAGGGTCACTCTTACCCCTTGGACCTTTATGGCTGCCTTATGACAAACCCCAGTGATCTGTTGCTTTCTCCCATCAGCCGTCTCTATCTCGAATAGGTATGACCTATCGAGGCCCAGTCCAACTTGTACTGCCAGGTCCTCGTCTATGATGACAACCTCACTTCCGTTATCAATCACAGCATCGAGTATCGCTCCATCGTTTATAATCATCTCCACGGCCCCGCTACCAAGTATATAAAACTTGTCTGGAGGCACACCTTTCATCCCATCGAGAAGGACTGTTGCCATGCGATCCGCTCTGGCGGTCCCCCCCGTTACTGCTACTGTAGAAGCTTCCGCTTTAGGGGCCCCCTGACCCTCCTCTGATAGAGGTATGCGAGTCTTCCGCGTGATCATCTGTAATTCATCACGAGTCGGCTTCGATGCCGCCAGGTACTCCAGAATAGAGCACTGCATTGGTTGCCGAAGGGCCCGCCTCAATGGCTCAACCGTGTCAATCTCGTCCAGCGAACTCTTCATTAAGAACTTCTTCACTCCCCTCTTTCGCGGCGAAAGGATAACCTCCTCTCCATCGACCCGCTGCCCGTCCTTCTCCGTCATCACGTAATCCGTGTCAGTCTTCTTCGATGTAGACCGTCTTGCCGACTTGGTGGCTGCCACCCTTATGGGTGTGGTCGTGATATCCCCCTCAAAGATTATCTTGATGCTCTGGCTCCTGACCGACTCCATTCCTTTACTCGTCTTTATTCTCCTTGCTTCGACATTGTCCTTCATCGGGAGTAGATGGTTTGTCGTTTGCGCCTCTAGAGATCGAACTCCTGGCCGCCTTGGGGTCAGGCGACTTAGGATATGGTTCTGATGAGACGCCATATTCCCCTCTCTCATTCCGTCCGCGCGAATCGTTGCGGCGGTCTCCTCCAGACCCTCCTTGCTCATACCGCCCTCGTGAATCATTCTGGCGGTCCCCCGAGCCATATCGTCCTCGTGACTCATCGCGTCGGTCCCCTCGGTTGTACCATCCCCGCGACTCGTCGCGCTGCTCTCTCACATCTCCCCCACGCTCAAACTGTCCGCGCGACCCATCTTGTCGTTCCCACCGATCTCCTCTCTCATATCTACTTCCTCTGTAGCCATCTCGACCCGACCTCTCGTATATGTCGTCCCTATATCCATCTCGGTCCGATCTCTCGTATCTGTCGCCCCTATATCCATCTCGTTGGCCCTGTTCTGTCTCCCATCAGCCGCGGGAGTCGCCTCTACCCCGATCGGCGTCATAGCGAGGGCTTCGCGGGTAATCATCTAGCCTCCTTGCTCGCACAAACAGCTCGCGTTCTCTGCGGTCTCGGTCTATCTCATCGTCCCTACGTCGCCATGATTCATCGTCTCTCTCTCTTCCCCTCGTACGATAATAAGTCAGCGTCCGAGGATTTCTATCCTCGACACTCCTCCAGGGATCGTTGTTCCTACGGTCCCAGCGAAGTGAATAGGGCCCTCCAGGTTTGTCCCGGTAGGCCGTGGCCCCTGTGACGGTCACAATCTCTGTAACCTGTCTCGTTAATCCCTTCACCATGTCCCGTATCTCCTTCACTTCCTCAGCCACGGCCTCATTCTTCTCCGACCAGGGATAATCCTTTAAATCAGGACATCTATCAGTGGCATACTCCTTGTAGAGAGAGAAGTCACGTCTCCTCATCCCTCTCCACACCAAATCCTGGTAATCGTCTGCCTCTGCCTTTATCGCGAGCTTTAGGACTTCTGGAAAATCAAGCCTGTCGCGCGGAAGATCTCTGAGTATACTCTTTTGCCTACCTTTGGACAAGTGTCCAATGAAGATAGTACAGCGCTCGACCTTTGAGATCTTCCCCTTCTTCATCAGTACGTCGGAGATCTTTTGGAAACGCATCCCAAATGCCCGTACGCTCTCATCTTCATCTTGAGTCATTGTCTCAAGGTCCTTGATGGAATACTTGTTGTCCTCCAATTTGTAAAGCTCAACGAGGTTCTCCTTGTACGTAGTCCATTTCCCATCCTTCGGTCGAGCTTCCTTAACTTCCCTTCCAAGACTTGGGTCCACATTAAATAGGAAGTTCTCTATAATCTCTTCCTCCGACCACTGACTCCGGCT